ATGAAGATCTTGTTTCTTAGTGTTGAAAAAAATAGTTTAAAATGGCATAAAATGACATGTCAAGTGGCTATTTTGTGGTACAATTATCAGTGGGGTCCACTTCCGAAATGAGTCAGGTCAAAGTGGATTCGGGTTCTTTGTAGTGAGACGAAGAGATTGATATATTGTACGCTCAAAACGGATAATGGGTGAATGAGATATTGATTCTCAAAGTAGACCCATTGAGTTGGAAAAATGAAGGGAAAAAGTGAGCTTTTGTCACACATTGGTTTGGGAAGAGTCTTTTAGAAGCTTATTGAATGTATGTATAGCATAAAGGCTTTCTTTCGCGCGCAGGGGGGTGCAAATCAAATCTCAAAATGAGATCAAAAAGGCTTGGCCCAAGCCTAATCTCGTGTGCACGTGCACGAATGTCGTCCGGAAATTGGGCTAAGTTATGCCAAGCTGTTACTGAGTTAATTTTTAATTAATTTCAATTTTAAATTTTGAATTAAACCTCATGTTAATGGGTGCCCTTAATTGCCAAAGTAAAGGCTATTCATTCCTTCCCCCCTATATTAGAGAGGATAGAGGCAGCAGATTTTTACTACACAGAAATCTTATTTTCCAGCCTCAAAATACTCTCTACTTCTACTCTTTCTTAGCCAAATTATGTTCAAAACGTTGCTCTAGTTCGCCGGATTCTTTGTTTGGGTGCTCAAACATTGAATAGTAGCAAGTTTTATCTTGGGAAGCCTAGGCTACAACGCTCCTAGCACTTGTGGGAGGTAACAAATAAGGTTTTAAGGAAAGAGTGATCGCTTGACTCTTGCTAAAAGTCCAATACCAAACACAAGTCAATCTCTTCATCTTTCCTTCCCTTTTTCTACAGAAAATAATAATCTTTATATTTTAGAATTATTATTGGGTTATATCAGCGAGATATCCAACACTTAGTAGTGGTGAACATTCTGGGTCTATATATGTTTCTTCTTCTATCCAAAGATTGAATCCCCAACCCCAAGAACTTCACACGTCCTGTCTTGATAGAACATGTGAAAATATATAAATTACGGTAACTCAGTAGACATAGTCAAATGTTAGTGTGCACAAGAGATGTGTCCACTTTGACATAATCCCCATATTATTACTGTCGAGTTTTGAACTTTGATCTCTTCTTCTAAACACTATCACTAAGATAAATCCGTGAGAGCTCCAAGAGAATATTTCTTGCTTTTATAAAATGTTGTTGCCTTGTCATCGTGAGAGCTCCAAGAGAATATTTCTTGCTTTTATAAAATGTTGTTGCCTTGTCAAAGTGAAACGAAGATTCTGTTGACATCTAGTTCCAAAATCTCCATCATAAATGATACCAAGAAAATTTCTTGATTTTCGATCGGAAAAAAGTACATTGATTCAACCCCACTACCACCGTCCCATACAGTCTTTTTTATCTCATCTTATCGTAGTTCTATTATTATTAGGTAGTGTTTGGTTGGAAATTTTGTACCCTATTATAAATTTTGATACTTATTATCATGTTCATTTATCTAGTTTTATTATTCTATTATTAAATTTAAATCTTTTAATAATTATAAAACTCATTATCCTTTTATTCCCTTACTTTTGAATAATGGAATAAAAATAAGAAAAAAATTAAAAAAAAAATAAATTATCCATGCATTAAATATGAAATTTTAATGTATATACACATATATGTAGGCAAATTTTTTTGGACCATTAAAAAATATTTTTTTAATATACAAAAAAATACATATTTGTGTATTGAATGTACATTATATAAAATAATATATTTTCAGTACTCAAATAATGTAGTTTCTCTTAATACAATATACATTTTTAATATACCATACTAAAAGTACATTATTTTATAAAATAATGTATTTTCAGTACTCAAATATTTTACTTTTTATTATGGTCCATAAAATAATGATTGCATATATATGTGTGTATATAATTTTTTTTTTTTGTTAGGCCATGAGGTGTCTTGAGCAAGCCCTAACTGTATTAAGGGTCAAAGTGCGATCTCTCTTAAGGGATGAGAGTGCACGACCACTCACGCCAACCAAGCTAATTGAATTATATACTGTTATATACTTATTTATTTTAATTAATTATTTATTTATTTTAATTTCAATTCATATTTATTACCAAACAAAGAGACGACTCCTACTCAAATTCATTACTATTACCAAATAATTAATTCTCATTACCATTCCGATTTTAATGTTGGAACCAAACGCAACCTTATTATTATCATTACCGAATAGGATAGGATTTTCAAATAGGGTTACTGAATCCACTCAACATTTACATCGACACACTATATAAAGTGGGTAACGGTGTGTAAAGAAATCAAGATATTCGCAAATTACTCAAGTTTGATGACTAAACAAATCCTTGGCTACTATATTGGAATGTGGAAGGGAATGTTTAACAGTATTTCATAGAAGATGAAAGGTTCAGAACAACCAAAAATGCTTATTGAAGGGACATGAGGAAGTTTTCTATTTTTCTTACAAAAATCATACCAAATGTAACACTACATAATGGTTTATAGAAGAGCTGCTTGAATGCTCACTTTTACTGTCTGCATCAAATGACTTAAGATGTGTTGGGAACCATGAAAATGATTTTTAGAAAATGATTTAAAAAATATTTTTTCTGTTTTGGTGTGTTTGATTCATTTTTAAGAAAATGAACAAAATTGTATTATTAAACATTTTAATTATTTTGTTTAATTAAAATTTAAACTCATTGCAAATTTATATATTGTGCAAATAAATAAATATATATATATATATATATATATATATATATATATATATATATATCACAACACAATAACCTTTTTCCCACAATAACATTGTCTAGGAAATCACAGCAAATCTGATTTCCATAGCAAAAATCAATCTGGCCGACTGGTTTTCGCTTCGAAAACTAGTCGGCCAGACTAGCTTCAGAACCAATTTGGCCGACTAGTTTCCGGCCTTGCAACCATTTCAGAGAACTTGGAAGAAGGTGAGAGAGAAGAGGCCTGAGGAGATGGCAGAAAACTTGGAAAAAAGACTTCCTCAAAAAAAAAAAAAAAAAAAAAAAAAAAAAAGTCATTTTCCTGAAAATAGGATGCATTTTCCATTGACCAAGACATGGTTTTCCATTGACTCTAAGTTTTCCTTCTTGCCAAACATTGAAAACCCGGAAAATGATTTCCAGAAATCATTTTCTGGTTTACCAAACACACCATTAATAATATTAAGGACAAAATCGTTGAGAAGTGGTCACGGGTGTGTAACGTTTTCCTTATGTTATTATTGTTATTATTAAGGTTATAATAATAATAATATTATTATTAAGTAAATATGTGGTGCAAATCAATAGGCTGAATAAGTATTAGAACTTAGTCAGCATTAGGTAATTAGTTGCCTACATTGATGGGATGTAGGTATATAGACTCCCAAGTTCTCTCACTGCTCAGTTGACGTATCATTAGGTAATTAGTTGCCTACATTGATGGGATGTAGGTATTTAGACTCCCAAGTCCTCTCACTGCTTAGTTGACGTATCATACACCATCTAAAGTCAGTAAGAGAAGTGAGTGAAACACAATCAGTCTACGGTGATTTCACAGCAGCCCGAGGAACTCCCGTTCGTCAGACCACGAGTCTAGGCGATCAAGGTTCTATGTTATGGCTGGAGGTTAGTGGATCTAACTTGTTTATTTATTGCCACGTATAAAGTGTTCTCTACGTGGATTATGTTCTTACATTTGGTATCAGAACCATTTTTTAATCTCTGCCTAGCCTTTTGATTGATTGCATAATCTACAGTTTGTTTTACATATGATATACATTCTTGTATAATTTAGGATTTGTATGTAATTTGTAATCATATCTATTGGGCTGCTGGAAAATATTTGTGTAAATTTTCCGCATTAAGAATCAAAAAATAAAAAATAAAAAATAAAATTTGCAATTGGTTTTTTTTTACGCACTGTCTTCACCGTTCGTTCACCGGACCTCCGGTCGCCGTTCCATTTGCCGGTGGCCGGATATGCCGGCTGGCCACAGGGTTCGCCGGATTTGGTTCGCCGGCGGACCTCCGTTGTTGACGGAGAACAAACAACGCCGGATTCAAAAAAATAAAATAAAAATTTCACCGGTAGTTCTCCCTTCATTCACGTCAACAATGGTGGCCTTTTTTCCGGTGATGACGGGTGGTTTTCGACTGACTGTTCGCGAAAAGGCCGGCGGTGGTGGCGGAGCCGGGTTTTCCCGGTGATGACGCCGCTGCTGTCTCCTCCTTCAAGAGACCGGCGATGGCCGGACGTTTCGCAACGGCGGAGGCAGGCGCACGGTAGCGGCGGTGGTTCGCGAGTGGTCAGGCGGTGGTGGCGGAGTCGGGATTTCCCGACGAGACGCTGCTACTGCCCTTCAAACGACCGGCGACCTTCGCTGCTGCGCGTCTGATTCACCTTCACTGCTGGTTCGCCGTTCGCTTCGCCGTCTGCTCTTTGTTCCCGCTGCTCTAGGTTTGGTAGCATATGAAGAAGATGATGTATTAAAGTATGGGCCGGGTCTGGCCCAATTCAGCCAGACCTGGGCTTTATTAAAAAAAAATTAGTTCTGGGCCTGTTTATTCTTAAGTTCATTGGGCTTCCTAAAATTTTTTTTAATTCATCATATTTGGCTTCTTCTTATGGGTTTTATCCAATTGATTTTTTTTGCCTAAAGTTGATATTAAATTATAATTCTTTTGAATAAATTATTAAGTTTCATTTGTTTGAATTTTAATTTAATATTGAATTTCAGTTTAAATTGTATTAAGTGTTACAATTTAATTGTGGAGCATGAGTTATAATATGCATAATCTGAGCATGTCTCTTCTTCTTTTTTTTTTTTACTATTTTATTGCACTAATTATTTGATTGTTATAATTATGCATATGTTAGAAAAGCATGTTCTTTTAAGTATGAATTTAGTGCCCTTTTATGTCTGAATTATATGCCTATTATGCATGTTATAGTGCCTTTTAGGTGAATTTAGTGCCTTTTAAGGATAGATTAAGCATATTATTTTACTCATTCGGTTATTGCTCCACTCGTGTCTTTCTAAAGCTATAAAGCACATAAAGTAGATCAAAGCTCTAGTTTACCCAAATTTAAAGCCTTATCCATAGGTGTATAACCATCTTATAGATCTTTCAAACAATTTTACTTCAAATATGAGAACACATGACTTAGGGAAGTTTCCTGGGGAGAAATACTAGTTCTATGGCCCTGGCTTAAAAGCCTTGTTGCTACTAGTCCCCTTGCGACGCTACTCTGTCTAAGGAGTTGGTATTTAACCGAGCTTCGTCTCGACCAACTTTCGTGGGAGTATACCTAAAGATTGTCTATCACGTTTTGGTTTAATGTGTTTGCTAGGCTTTAAATTACCCTTTGCCAAGTGATTACAATTTTGTAATTAAAGAGTAGCCACAACATCTTTAATTGCTTAAATTGTATTTAGATTAACTCACATAAAGAGTTGGCAATATCCTTGTAATTAATTCTATATGATATGACAAAATTTAGCCCACAGGCAATTTTGTTGTATTTGTAGGATTGATTAGGATGAAATGCCAGACTATGATCATAATTTGCCCACAGGGATTATGTATCGGCATATAGTTTTAGTAGTTTTGTCATTAAGGGTGGAAAAACCCAAACCGTACCCATTCCGTTTTTCACCATTCAGTTTTGGTAAATTCATTATGTGTAAATATTTAGCCCACAGACAATTTTTATGGCATTTGAATTTATCTTTTGCATAAGTTTACATTGGTAAAATATGCACTTCAGTTCTTTTGTGCCTCAAAAATCAAAACTAACAAACTCATAATTTTCTTTCAGCAACTACCCTAACTGGCTCGCACATTAATGTTACAATGCTTACTCCTAATAATCATAGAGAATGGAAAGATGACCTCCTCATCTATTTTGGCTGGCTCGAAATGGACTATGCTATCAACCATACAGAGCCCCCGGCAATCACCGCGACGAGCACTCAAGAAGCCAAAGAACTTTGGGCTAAATGGGAACGATCCAATCGCCTATGCATCTTTTTCATTAAGTCTCGGCTTCCGAGTGATATTCGTCGCACGGTTGATAAACTTACAAAAGTTAAAGAGTGTATTGAGGCCATTGACAAAGTTCAAGAGTGTATTGAGGCCATTGACAAGAAGTTTGAAACTTCAGACAAATCCCTAGCAATCACCTTAATAATGAAGTTCACCTCCCTTCGTTTTTCTCCTGCCGATGGTGTGCGCAGTCACATCATGCAACTCAGTGATATTGCAGCTCAACTTGACAAGTTGGAGATTAAACTTCCAGACTCATTTGTGGTGCACTTTGCACTGAATACTCTCCCTTCTGAGTATAGCACCTTCAAAATTGCTTATAACATACATGACAAGAAATGGTCTGTTAATGACCTAATCAATAAGTGTGTGCAAGAAGAAGGGAGACTACTTCAGGAACAAAGGGGGGAGAGTGTCATGCTTGCAACAGCCAAGCCTAAAGGGAGATCTGGAAAGCGTCCCACTTCAGCTAAAGGGAAAGCAAAAGTATCCCCTCAGACTGACATTAAGAAGGCACAGAAATGATTCTTCTGTAAGAAGAAGGGGCATATGAAGAAGGACTGTGCAAAGTTTAAGAAGTGGATGTCTGAGAAAGTTATGATCTCTTCCTTTGTCTGTTTTGAATCCAATATGTCAGACGTTAATGCTAACACTTGGTGGATTGATTCTGGTTCAACAATCCACATTGCAAATTCTTTACAGGATATGCAAAATCTGAGACAACCGATGTCAAATGAGGGAAACATCTTCTCCGAAAATAAGATGGGCTCGCCGGTTGAAGTTGTAGGGACTTGCAGGCTGATTTTAGATAGTGGCTTTGTTTTGGAATTAGAGAGGAATTTTATGTACCAACTTTTTCACGAAATTTGGGTTCCATTTCAAGACTTATACCGTTGGGATTCAGTTTTAATTTTTCAGACAAGTATTTTAAATTATTTAATAATTCTACTTGTATTGGAAATGATACACTGTCTGATGGTCTTTATCGTCTTCACTTACAAAACGATGCAAGTTATGATTTCTTACATGTTCAAACTGGCACCAAATGGTGTAGTATTAACGATAAATCTTCAATGTTGTGGCATCGGAGATTGGGACACATCTCCCTTGAGCACATTAAAAGGTTGGTAAAGGATGGAGTACTTTCTACTCTAGACTATACTGACTTTGAGACTTGTGTAGACTGCATTAAAGGCTAGTAGACTAACAAGTCAAAGAAAGGTGCCAACAGAAGTTCAACATTGTTAGAGATAATTCATACTGACATATACTGTCCAGATATGGATATGCAAGGTCAGAAATATTTCATTACCTTTATAGATGACTTCTCTAGATTTACCTATGTGTATTTACTTCATCATAAGTATGAAGCATTGGATGTCTTTAAAACATTTAAGGCTGAAGTTGAAAACCAATGCAAGAAGAAAATACAAATAGTTAGGTCAGACAGAGGTGGTGAATATTACGGTAGATACACAGAAAATGGACAAGCTTTGGGTCCGTTTGCTAAATTCCTTCAAGAGCATGGGATTGTTGCCCAATACACCATGCCGGGTTCCCCGGATCAAAATGGTGTTGCTGAAAGAAGGAATCGGACTCTTTTGGACATGGTGCGGAGTATGCTGAGAAACTCCACACTTCCAAAATCATTGTGGGCCGACGCTCTCAAGACGGAAACGTATATATTGAATCGGGTTCCGACCAAGGTTGTCCCCAAGACACCTTTTGAGCTTTTCAAAGGTTGGAAACCGAGTTTGCATCATATGCGTGTTTGGGGTTGTCCGTCTGAGGCGAGGATTTATAACCCACATGAAAAGAAACTTGACCGAGGACTATAAGTGCTTTCTTTATTGGATATGCACAGTCTTCTAAGGGTTATAGGTTTTATTGTCCAAAACATACTACTAGGATAGTGGAACCGAGAAATGCTAAGTTTCTTGAAGATGACTTAATCAGTGGGAGAGATCGATTTAAGGACTTAGTTCCTTTATTTGATCATGTTGACTCTTGCGCTTCTACGTCATCTAACGGAGTTGTACTTTTACGCAACGCGCCTTCAGTCCTACATGCGGTTGTGCAACCCATTGTTGAGATTCCACAAGCTGTTGAACCTCAACCATTGGAAGAACAAGTTCAGGACTTACAGCAACCTCCTGAACTAGACTTCGAGCCAATGGTTGAACCAATTCAGGATTTTCATCAAGATCCTGAATCCACATAGACTGAAACTGAACCAATTCAAGAACTACATCCAGTTCCTGAAGAGGTAGTTGCGCCACAACCTTCTCAAGGTACTGGTGTTCCAACATTAAGACGGTCTACTCGGGTGAGGCGTTCAGCAGTTCCTAGCTATTATGTATCGTATCTACAAGAATCTGAAATTGGAGCCGAAAATGATCCCGTAACGTTTTAACAAGCTACGAATTGTGCACAATCCGATTTGTGGTTAGAAGCCATGAAAGATGAAATGAATTCCATGAAGAGTAATGGAGTTCGGAACCTTGTTGAGTTACCTAATGGGGCCAAGCCGATTGGATGTAAATGGGTATTTAAAACCAAAAGAGACTCATTAGGCAACATTGAGAGGTACAAGGCCAGACTCATTGCTAAGGGATTTACTCAAAAAGAAGGAATTGATTACAAGGAGACCTTTTCTCCTGTATCAAAGAAAGATTCTCTTCGAATGATTCTGGCTTTAGTTGCACACTTTAATCTTGAGTTGCAACAAATGGATGTGAAAACCGCGTTCATAAATGGTGATCTAGAAGAGGAAGTTTATATGAAACAACCTGAAGGTTTCTCTTCTAGAGGTGATGAGGATTTGGTGTGTAGGCTTAGGAAGTCAATATACGGTTTAAAACAAGCCTCTCGTCAGTGGTATATTAAGTTTGACGGGGTCATTTCATCATTTGGTTTTGTTGAAAGTCCCTTAATCCTTGTATATACCAGAAAGTTAGTGGGAGTAAAATCTGTTACCTTGTTTTATATGTGGATGATATCCTACTCGCCACTAATGAGGTGGGGATGCTTCGCAACGTGAAACAGTTCCTTTCCAAAAATTTTGATATGAAAGATTTGGGTGAAGCATCTTATGTCATTGGCATAAAGATTCATAGGGATAGGTCCCGGGGCATACTGGGTCTATCGCAGGAAACCTATATTAACAAAGTTTTGGAAAGATTTCGGATGCAAAATTGTTCACCGAATGTTGCTCCCATTGCAAAAGGGGATAAGTTTAGTTTGGACCAATGTCCTAAGAACGACTTGGAGAAGGAGCGTATGAAGGATATTCCATATGCTGAAGCGGTTGGATGTCTTGGCTATATTCAAGTTTGTACAAGGCCCGACATTGCCTTTGCCGTCGGTATGTTAGGGCGGTACTTGCATAATCCAGGCATGGACCACTGGGGAGCTGTGAAGAGAGTTCTGAGGTATCTCAAAGGTACCAAAGACTTCAAGTTGGGTTTTAGGCAGACGGACATCCTGGATGTTGTTGGTTATTCTGATGCGGACTTCGCTGGCTCCGTTGATTCTCGGAGATCAACTTCCGGGTACGTCTTCATATTGGCTGGTGGGGCTATTTCATGGAGAAGTGTTAAACAATCCTTAATAACTACTTCTACCATGGAAGCTGAGTTCGTGTCCTGTTTCGATGCCACTTCGCAAGGTGTGTGGCTCAAGAATTTCATCTCCGGGCTTAGAATTGTGGATTCTATATCTAAGCCATTGAAAGTTTACTGTGACAACTTAGCTGCAGTCTTCCTAGCTAAGAACGACAAATGTGGGAGTCGAATTACCAAAGTACACAATTCAGTTTTATCTCAATAAGAAAATATACTTCAGTGGACTTGAAATGAACATATGGTTTGTTTCATTAAGTTTAATTACCAAAGTACTCGAAGGCAATTTGCATTTGATCATAATGGGTATTACTCGTGCTAAGGAGCGCATATCATTATGGTTGGTGTGATCTTGTTCTTCGGGTTTCGTATTTGCACCAAGTGGGAGAATGTAACGTTTTCCTTATGTTAGTATTGTTATTATTAAGGTTATAATAATAATAATAATAATAATAATAATAATAATAATAATAATAATAATAATAATAATAATAATAATAATAATAATAGTAATAATAGTAATAATAGTAATAATAATAAAATAGTAATAATAATAATAATAATAATAATAATAATAATAATAATAATAATAATAATAATAATAATAACAATAATAACAATAATAACAATAATAACAATAATAACAATAATAATAATAATAAAATAATAATAATAATAATAATAATAATAATAATAATAATAATAATAATAATAATAATAATAATAATAATAAGCAAATCAATAGGCTGAATAAGTATTAGAACTTAGTCAGTATTAGGTAATTAGTTGCCTACATTGATGGGATGTAGGTACTTAGACTCCCAAGTCCTCTCACTGCTCAGTTGACGTATCATACACCATCTAGAGTCAGTGAGAGAAGTGAGAGAAACACAATCAGTCTACGGTGATTTCACAGCAGCCTGAGGAACTCCCGTTCGTCAGACCACGAATCCAGGCGATCAAGGTTCTAAGCTATGGCTGGAGGTTAGTGGATATAACTTGTTTATTTATTGCCACGTATAAAGTGTTCTCTACGTGGATTATGTGCTTACTGGGTGCGCTCTCTTGAGACTGCTTGTTCTTCTCCAGGTTTTGCATGGCCATTTTTTTCTCTGCCTCAACTTATTCGAACAAAGTCTGTCTGTGCATTTCTTTCGTCACCTCTGTCATTGTAGTTGCCTCTCTTTCAAGCTGTATCTGCATTACAACTTCTGCTTCATTTTCAATTGGCCTGAAATATTCATTGATTGCACTCTCCTGTACATAATAACCAATTTGCTCAGACACCAAGGCTCATGACTTGACCAGTAACAGGAAGAAAAAGCTGACCAATGAAAGCGAGTAAAACCAAAAATACAATGTGCTATTGTGCTAATTAACTAAGTTCTTAATAGAACAGTTCATCCATTTTATTTCACCTAGCTCTGCCTAACACCCTACTACAGGAGAAAACTGAGGGTTCCACTTAGATTGAATTAAAATATAGTTTGATCGCTTCATTAAAGTTCAAGCTCCTTAAAGTTACATTCAGTTGAGAAAAATCGATATCTTACATCACATTCCCAAATAAACAAGCTGAGTCAAGTAGAAAATTAGCTCAACTTTTTAGCATGCTCAGAAAACAATACACATTGATGATTGAACTAGTAGATCTTACACTTTACTCACCTATCTACCCTCGTAGAACCAACCACAAAATTCCCTTTGGGCCTACAATCTCAATTCCTCATCTTTAGCTGTTCTCTCTCTCTCCCTCTCCCTCTCCCCCTCTCTCTCTCCAACTCCTTTTCCAAAGGAGTTCTTGCAGGTTAGCATCCAATTTCATGTCTCCTTTAATAAGTCAAGGCCATCTTTCATATGAATATATTCCTTGTTTACTTCACGCTTTCTCCATATAAATGAAGCATCTAGCTGGGGGGATAACCCCATCCTAAATGGCCAGAGATCTACACTTGTAACCACAAGGTTACAAGTAGGACTGTGCAGAACCCGCCCAACCCATCATATCCGATCGACCCGAGAACCGAAAAGAGAGGTGGGGAGGATATTCGAATCCGATTTTTTTGCTTAAATCTGGTTAATAGGTAATCGGGTAGGGATAGTAAATTCCCACCCGAACCCGTCCAAAAACCCGATATTATATATATATTGTATATGTATATATATGATACAGCGTCGTTTAGGAATACTATATATATGTACGTATGGCTAGGGTTTCTTCATTCCACCCTTCTACGCAGTCGCGACTCCTTCCTCGCAGCATTAGTTCTTTGACTTCTCTCTAAACCACTCCCTTCTAACCTTCTTCTCCGATCTCCATTTCTCCATCTCTGAGACTCTCTTACTCTCTTAGTCTCTTGTCTTCTCTAGTTCTCTCTGCTAGTCTACTCTGTAGGCTTCGAGTCTTTGACATTCACTTTCTCTGTTGAGGGTTTTGTCGTCGCCCGTTTTGCATAGCCCCTACTCTTGACTTTGGAGACCGTTCGTTGTTCGTAATAGACGCCAGTGGACGATGGAGCTATGGTGGAAGCCTCAAGCAAGCGAATCCTTTGACGATGGTGTCGTTTGCCGAGGTGGTCTGGTGGAAGCCCCTGTGTTGATTTCTTGAAGTTGAAGGCCAAGTTCTCCGGGAAACTATTGGAGAAAAACAAGTAATCTTAAATATGTTTATAAATTTTAATGCTATTTTTCTAGGGTTCTTGTGTTATTGATGATTGATGTAACACCCCCGATTTTTACCATATTTTCAAAACTTAAATCTCAAAGGTAAGCATCTAATCATCAAAACACAAAGAAAGCAGAAGCTATATAAAATCGGTAAGTGTTATGCCACACCCATAAACCATGGGTGCACAGGCTAGTCAACAACAATCTACCAAAACAATCACAATACTAAGGCGCACAGGCCAACAAAGGATAAACGTCTAGCATGAGATCTATTTTATCTAAGGTCCACATCTAGCGCGCTCAGCATCTACTCAAAACCTGTAAAAAGTCAAGGGATAACACCCGGTCAGCGAATAATGCTGGTAACCCATCAATACGCCTTAAATAGCATAGTATAGATAGATATAATCAAAACCATTTGAAACGGAATACAGTATATATCATTTCAAAACCAAGGAAGGAAATCAACATCAAAGACTCATCAATCACTCTCAATAAAAATGAGGATCATCATCCTCACAATAACAACAAAACCACAAACATGAAAGACAACACAACTCAGGATGCATCCTACCGTTCACAAGGTAGAATACATCAAAACATGCTCATAAGCAAGGAAATCACATTCATACGGTGACAACTACATGTCACGGTGACAACTACATGTCACAAGTTTCATAGTTCCAACCTTATGCCCTGTTCCAACCTTAAGGCTACCCCCGACCTTATTTCGGTTCCAACCATTACCTCCTAGTGTCACCCTGTACTTCTGAGTCCAACCTTTTGCCTCCGGGGACCATCGCCCCCCCCCCCCCCCCCCCCCCCCCCCCCCCCCGCCGACACTCCTATTCACCGTCGATCTCTCAGTACATGAGGGTACCATTGAATATCATAATCACAAAACCGCCAATCTCGTGAGCAAAGCTCAAGTAACAAACCACCAATCTCAATCATAGTCACACAAGGTCATCATCATTACCAAGAACACTAAGACTCAACAATAGTCTTAATCAAGTATCAATAAAGGGTACAACGATTTACATACGATTACATCATAGGAATCAATCAAGAGATCACAATAAAGACATGAGACCATACTCAACAATCAAAGGGTTAGAACCCAATACCAAATGATTGTCAACACAAGTTGGCAATCTCAATATGATGGAACAAACCACACATACTAGCATATCAACATCAAACTAGCATGCTCGTCAAACGGGTAAACCAAAATTAGTTCCAAAGAACGTTCAAGACTCACATTAGCCCAACGAATCCCAAAGTTGGACCCTTAGCACGATTCAAGACACCAAATCCTACATGGATTCCTAACACACCGTTTTAGACATACGAAACATCAAGAAGACTCACAAATAGTCCAATAAATCAACATCGGGAGGTCAAAACATCAATACTGAGAAGAAATAATCACGGGGAACAAATCCCCGGCCAACAACCACAGTGTACCCCGCGGGTGGGGCCACGGGTGGGCCTCCACCCGTGGTTCCGCCCGCGGGTACATACACCTACGAGACCACGTTCCCCGCGGGTAGGGCCCTGCCCGCCGTTCCGCCTGCGGGTAGACCCTCCTGTACACAATAATCCCTTCGGGGATTTTCAACAACAAGGCCAAGTTCAAGTCCAAAACACCCAAAATCTCACACACAACAACAATTTGACTTGAACCCAAGAAATAGCCAAGCAATGGCTTTCAAGAACCCTAAGAACAAGCTCTAAACATGCATCACCACAAGATAATGCATCAAATCTCACAAATCAACACAAGAATCACAAGTAGAAGCCAAGAATCATCATATAAGTAAGAAAATAGGTTTTGTAAAGCATGGGTTACCTTTGTAGCCTAACAACTTCCTCTTTTCACCCTTAAAAGCCTTTCCTAGAGCTCCTCTTCCACACCAACTTCTTACACAAACCAAAACACACACAAAAAAAAAAAAAAAAAAAAAAAAAAAAAAAAAAAAAAAAAAAAAAAAGATCCTAACTTTAGAAAAAGACACCTAAATGAAGGTTAAAAACAACAAAAAGTTAAGGATCTTACCCTTTCCTATGCTCAAGAAGGAGAAAGTAGGAATCTTGGTAGAAAATCTTGCAAAGCTTGGATGCTCAATTTCTTGCTTGAAGAAGAAGCTAAATCATTTTAGAGAGAGGCTAGAGTTTTTGAGTTTTTGTTTGAAGGGTGAATGCAATGAGAGAGTACCCTTTCCTATGCTCAAGAAGGAGAAAGTAGGAATCTTGGTAGAAAATCTTGCAAAGCTTGGATGCTCAATTTCTTGCTTGAAGAAGAAGCTAAATCATTTTAGAGAGAGGCTAGAGTTTTTGAGTTTTTGTTTGAAGGGTGAATGCAATGAGAGAGTCTTACTAGGTTAGCTTGAATCACAAATATTAGGTGAAAAGACATTTCTACCCTTACTAAAGTTGGAAAGACAAGGGAACAAGGGCACAACTCAATAAGCACAAGGTACACAACCTTTGACTTAAGTGACTAGTCAAAATCTAGTCCCTCGACTATTAAATTTCAGGATTTTTAGAAATGGTTTAGCAAGGAAACTTGGATTAATTCTTTAATTAATCATCGATTAGTGTTTGGATTTACGCGGTGTCACAATTGATACTTTGATAGTTTGTGGCCTTGTGGGGGTTCTATAATCTGTATAATGTGATTATTGTCATTATTCTGTGATTTTTGTGAAAATATGAAATGGTGAGTCTGTCAGTCTGTGAGTCCTAATTACTACCTAAGTCACTGACTCAAATTCCATATTGGGGCTTTCCATATAGATGATGAATTTGTCAATCAAATTCCTTATATATGGTTTCAATTTTATGGTAATAGGACCCTTAATTTTGTACATAGAGTATTTATATAATTATGTTACATACTGTACAATGTACATACTGGTGGAAGCTATTATTATTTATTAAAGTGATTATGGATTTTATGAATTATGAGCCTGAACTGTATTGTGTATTTGTGTTGACTCTGTTTATTACTTGAGTATATGAGCCCTGAGCCCTAAGCCCCTAAAGTTTGGGCAATTCCATTTAGATGATGATTTGAATTTGATTGTGGAATTTATGGTGGATGTCTAATATGCAATCTGCTTGAATATGTATCAATGTTTGTGTGTTTATGAATTCTGTATGGATTTTAATATTTTATTGTGGAAGCTTAAAGCTTTAATCTATAAATCTGTAATGAGTGTAATTTCAAATCTGTCTACTTTATTGGACATTTGTTTACTGATGCCCATCTTTATAGATGGAAAGCATCATTCATCTAGACACCCTTCATCCACAACTGAAGAGGAACATGGAGTAGAAGCTTGAGGTACTGAGACAAATCCTCAGCAGCCTATGTCTTCTCCTCCTGTTGTTCCTATGAAGAAGAGGAAAGAGCTGGAGTCTAGATCCAAAGTATGGGGTCATTTTGAAAAGATCCTTGATGCTGATGACAAATTAATTAAGGGCAAATGCCTTTACTGTGTAAAACTTTTTGCATGTGAGAGTAAAAAGCATGTCACTTCCTCCTTGAGAAACCATATGTTGGGCTGCCTCAAAAATCCTCATTCTAAAGATACATGGCAGTCCCTTCTCACATTCAATGTTGTTTCTACCTCTGGAACATAAGCTTCTGAGGGGGTTTTGGGGACTTGGGTTTTCAACCAAGAGGCTATTAGAAGAGCATTGTGTGAGATGATCATTGTAGATGAGCTTCCCTTTAGGATTGTTGTGGGAAAATGGTTTAGGAAATTCATTTTAGTTGCTTGTCCTAGGTTTCAAATCCCTTCTAGGTGGACCATTTCTAAAGATATTTACCAGATTTACCTAGATAAGAGATTGAGACTCAAAAAGTTGTTTAGGGTAAGCACCCAAATGGTTAGCGTGACCATTGATACATGGACCTTTGTCCAAAGGATAAATTATATGTGCATTACTGCACCTTTCATTGATGATCAGTGGAAACTTAATAAAAAAAATCATTTCCTTTGTCCCCAGTTTCTTCTCATAGGGAGGAGTACATAGCCAAAGCCCTTGAGACTTGTCTTCTTGAGTGGGGATAAAAAAAAAATGTCTTCACTATTACTGTTGATAATGCCTCTTCAAATGACACAGCATTGGGGTTTTTCAAGAACAAGCTTTTGTCTTGTGGTGGATCTTCTGTTAGGGTTCAATACATGCACATGAGGTGCATATCCAATGTGTTGAACTTAGTGGTCCAGGATGGGTTGAGATTTGTAGATCCTTCTGTTAAGAAATTTAGGGATGTTGTGAGATGGTGAGGAATTCCCTTGTAAAACTCAAGAAGTTTAGAGAGCTTGTTGACCTTAATGGGGTGGAAGCCAAATCTGCATTACAGCTTGATGTTCCAACACGATGGAACAGCACATACATCATGCTGAACACTGCCCTAGTGCCCTCCAATACCAGAGGGTCTTTGAAGCTTATGAGGAAAATGATTCCCCATTGTCTGTTGATTTATCTTATTCTGTTCCAAATTTTTTGGATTGGCTTTCTATGAAAAGCTTAGTCCTGTTTCTAAAAGGCTTTTATGAGATGACTGTGACAATATCTGATTCTCTCTATGTCACTTCAAATACATTCTTTTCTGAGATTTCTGATTTGGGTTGCAGGTTGGATTTGATACAAGCTCTGAAAAGGTAAACTGTAAGAACATGTTTCTAATTTTTGTGTATGTGTTTCTGTAAGAATATGTTTCTGATTTCTGTGTTTGTGTTTTCTGTCTGTTTTTATTTTTAGACAATGGAGTCCCAAATAAAACAAAATTTTCAATAATATTGGGGAGATCTAGAAAATATGAACTTCTTGATATTTCATGCCAGTATTCTGGATCCTAGGGATAAGATTGATATTTCAAGAACAAGAAACATCAAGTCTAGATTCAAGATTCTATCATCTAATTCAAATTAAATTATAATTATCAAATTCAAATATAATAAAATTATATTTAAATTCAATTATAATTATTATTAAATTCAAATATGAATTGGGCTTGGATCAATTAATTAATTAATTCAAAAATCCAAAATCAAATTTAATTGGGTTAATTAAATTAACTTAATTATTATGGCCCAATTAATTAAATTGGTCCAATAATTAATCTCAAAACTAGGCCCGATAATAATTTTATTGATCCATTTGTCGATTTCAAATTTTCTGTGTCTACATAGTTTTCTTCTTCTTCTTTTTTGAATTAGTTTTCTTCAAAATACTGAAGTGGGTCAGTTGAGGGCCTGATTATGGGCTGTTTAACAGGCCCGGATTTTTATTTTTTTCATGTTTCAAGTTTGAGTTCTTATGTAAAAAGAATCAAAACTTTTCACTTATATAACACGGGCAAATTATTGTGTGAACCATAATAAAAGTACATTTTTAATATATTAAAAGTACACTATTCGTGTACTGAATGTACATTATACAAAATAATGTACTTTCAATACTCAAATAATGTACTTTCCATGAATACAATGTATATTTTTAATATATTAAAAGAGTTAATACCCAAAATTGTCCTCGACTATAGTGGTTTTTCTCAATTTTGTCATAAACGACTTTGGTGTCATAAAATAGTCACAGACTTTTGTGTTATTGCTCAATATTGTCCTTCGTTTGTTAATCCGTCAAAAGTGTGTTAAGTACAAGGATAATATAATCATTTCATATTTAGGTCTTCTCTTGGTCTTCTTCCTTTACTCCACTAGTTGAGTGGGAATTGGCATACAACCTCAACTCTGCTCCGGCGCCTCTCTCCCAAGAACCCCCTGCTGCTTTGCAAGTCGCTGAATCCTCGCCACATTCTCCAATTCACTCTTAAATCCAAACCCTCCTATCTCTCCTTCAAAATCTACAAGCCCCTTCGTCTGCAACTCACCCAAGTTTCCGTGGAAAAGTAGGCCCAGACCTCATAAAGCCCTTCAAATTATTAGCACCCAAACGAAAAGGTTTCATCTTCATCAAAGAGTTACGTCTGGGTCAATCCCAAAAGCCACATAGCATCTAAATTAAGACAAGTTTCTTATGATTCCAAGCACTCTTCTCTATTGAGCATTTCGCGATCTTTAGATTCTTGCAGCGCAATTGAATGATCAGGAACTTGAAAGCTCATTTTGAGGGAACTACACAGATCATACATAGATTGACACGCATTTAACTATATAATGTTGGCTTTAATCGTCGTTTCTAGAACCGCATGCCCACCGCTGCACCGCCGCGAGAGATCTTTCTAAGGCAAGAACGCCACCTGCAGCAACAGAATAAATGGGCAGCGGTTGGTGGCCAGCATGAACAACGCTTCCTTCCAATTCCCGACCAAGATGTCAATGCTGGAGGCGTTCTTCGGCAACGTGAACGGAATCTACACCACCGACTTCCCCGACCAGCCGCCGGTGATATTCGACTACACAAACGCGAACAACAGCCTCAATCCGGCTTTGTTAACCACCACGAAATCCACGAAAGTGAAGAAAGTGAAGTTCAACGCAACAGTTGAGATTGTGCTTCAGAACACGGCTTTGAAAATCACCCAATACACTTCTGTTGACCAGAGCTATACTTAAGACATGGAAAATCACCCAATACACTTCTGTTGACCGGAGCTGTACTTAAGACATGGAAATTGACCTTAAGCTGAGAGAAGACCTAAATATGAAATGACTATATTATCCCTGTACTTAAACTACTTTATGATACCAAAGTCGTTTAGGACAAAATTGAGAAAAAGCACTATAATCAAAGACAATTTTGAGTATTAACTCTATATTAAAAGTACATTATTTGATAGTATGGTCCACACAGCACACAATAATGATTGCGTCCGTTCCAAAACTCTATAATTAAGTCCTTTGACTTTATTTTTTTAACCAATTTGGTTTTTTAGTACTCAACCCGTCAAATCTCCGGTGAACATAAGGTTAATATGGTCATTTACTCATACTTTACATCTGTGTGAATTACAAAAATGATCCATTGACTATATCAATTTGACTGATTTAGTCCTTTGATTATCATTTGTTTAACCAATTTGGTCTTCATATTATCAAATATGAGGACCAAATTAGTTAAAAATGATAGTCTAATGGTTCAATAGTGATGTGACCATGCGTCGGAAGACAAAATTGGCTAAAGAAATGATAATCGAAATGATAATCAAAGGACTAAATTAAATAATTTTTAAACGTGAGGACCAAATCAGTCAAATCAATATAATCAAGGGATCATTTTAATAATTTACTTTATTTATTTTTATCTTTGATCGTACTTGTCAACTTTTCTTTTTTGGTCACAGGAGAATGACAACGAGATGAAGCTAGAAGCTTTGGAATTACGTTGTTTTAAATACAAGTGATTGTCTCATACTTCTCGTATAGGAAAGGTAGAAACCCAACGATAAAAACAGCCTTTGAATTATAAAACAAAACACTTTGATAGAAGTCAAAAATCTTATAAGCATTCCATAGTTTAGTTTTATTGTTCAATAGGATGGGGACTCCAGCAGTTTTTTGTGATCTAACTCGTCTGATCCTGATAGCACCAAGGCAATCCTCATTAAACGTCCTCATAACCCTTAATTGGGAGGCTAGCAAGCTCATTCCATTCATTTCTCCTTAGAAAGCTAAGTTGAAAAGCATATTGGCCACATGATTTTGGTCACGAAAGATGTGTAGCATTGAGATGCCCCCTACCGTGCATATCCAATTTTTAGTGTTATCCATAGAAGTGATCAATCTTGAATGTTTTCTTTGTCCAGTAAATAGCTCCACTGCCTCGCTAGAGTCACTCTGGACCTCAATCAATCTATATCCTCTGCTCTACGCCCACCTCACACCTTTTATAATGGCTCAGCACTCCGCTTCAAGAGCATTGTTCGCTTGGATTATGCCAGTGAAGCCTGGCTGCCATTTTCCTAAATCGCACGCTTCCATTCCCTAGAGCACCGATTGGGGTCCCATCAACATCCAAAGCAACACTTGCATGGGGAACTTTCCATCCATTCAAACCCGCAACTTCCACCACCTTCAGGGTGCATGGCCTTTGCGAAAGCATCAAAAACCTCCCTAATTTTCCTTTTAACCCATTCAAGCTTTCAGCTAACATCATTGTCAGCATTTAAAAGAGAGCTCATTCATCCACCAACAAATAATGGCAAATGTGGAGCTCTAGTCACAGATGATTTTAGCTTTCACTTTCTTTTCCTCTAACGTTAATGGACACCCAGTTTTCCATGCTCAAGGAATCCCACCTGTCTCATCCTCGTTATCTGTTGGTGCCTCATCATTCTCCTCCGCTGGGTTCACAGTTCCAGTTAGAGATTCCCTGTATAAATAAGAGCTTTCTTTCACCAATTAGGCAATTATGTTTACTTCAAGACATGTTTCCATCATCTCTACTCTCATGGTTTCCCATGGTTTAGTTAAATGTTGAAAAGAATGTTAACATGGTATTCCAATCACATGTATGACACAATAAAGAAAAAGTTAGATTAGTCACAGATATTAACGCAGCTACTTTTACATCCTTATCTACCAAGATCTTGTACCTAGTAAGCTATTTTACAGTACAAAAAAGAATATGTAGAAAGCTTGAGATGTTCATAGACCTACTCCACTTGCCTGGGCTTGTCCTGTTAAAGGAAGGATACTCCCTGAGCCGTTACTGGCTCCTTGTCTTGACAGCCTGTGTTTTCTGAGAGACTCGTGACATGGAGCAAAGAACTCATGCCGGAGGGCTTCCTCTGCACTGATCCTCAATCTCGGGTTTACTGTCAAACACTTGTCCACCAGATCAAAAAGCGATGCAGGAATGGCATCAAGCAAATCTGGTCGCCGTGTGTTCCTGGTACACCACTCTCGTAGTTTAACCGAAGGCAAGGATTTTACATCAAAGAGCTCCTGATTCACAATGGCATTTCGTCAGAGCAAGAACAATAGAGAATAATGTTTGAGAGAAAGGTGAGTGAGTGATTGATACCGCTGGGAATGATGACTCGCGGTTGTGCAGTTTGGCCACTTCCCATAAGTCCTCACTGCCCTTCAACTTGGCAACCTCTTTTATGTTCCTGTGTGAATGATGCAAAAAAGCAAAATTTTGTTCAGTTTTCAGATCAATGAATACAGTTCCAGAAAATTGTGTGGACACAGAATGTTTTCTCACTGATCAGGGTCTCCAGCAAAGGGGGTTCGCCCTATCATAAGATACAGTAAGCTGACACCAGCTGACCAAACATCAAGCTTGGCACCTTGATGTAGAGACCTGAATAATACCTGAACAAGGGACAAATGTAAGGCTTATAATCCGAAGAGACAAACATGGACTCCGAAGATGGTCAAATGAGTAGTTGTTTCAGATAACAGTTAACCAATACAGCTTTAACTGCACTAGTCCAAGAATGCCGATTTACTCGTGGAAACACCACTTGAAATTGAATTTACAGTAATTACAGGAAATATATAAATAAATAAATAAATAAATATATATATATATATATATGTGTGTGTGTGTGTGTGTGTGTGTGTGTGTGTGTGTGTGTGTAACCACAGTGGAAGGTTAAATTACTAACCTCTGGAGCCCTGAAACCCTTCGTCCCAACACATGAACCTTCCCGCTTTTGCTTTCCATCACCTAGAAGTAGCAGCAAGTATAATATATAATTAATCCTAATGCAGATTTGAGGTCTATCATTTCAGATCATACACATGCAAATTAGAATTACCTTTACTCTTGAGTAACCCAGCACCACGAATGCCAATTCCAGAGGAATGCAGTGGCATGGGAGTTACATAAACAAATTGCCTGTCTTCTTTTCCAGGAGGTGCTGCAATCCTCTTTCTCTTAGAAGTGGGACCTTTCACTTCCCTATGGTTTGCACCTTGCAGTGCTTCCTGCGCCAGGCTGATCAGCTCCTTTCTACCATGGCATGGGAGAGGCTGTCTCAACCTTTCTGCTGATGGGGTTCTGGTGCTTGTTGGTTCCTTTGTAGAAGTTAACCCCGAGCCATCAGCACCTTGGCTTTTTATTATATTCCTACTCCCAATATCAGGGTGAACCTTTTCTAAGCCACCCTTCACTTTTGTATTCTTAGGCTGTAGAGTCCTCTTGATGCCTTTCGCTGCTGCTTCCTGATTGACGGTTTCTAAAAGCTTCATGTTTGGAAATCTTCTACTTTTAATTGGAGGAAGAGATTTATTAAGGCTAAGAGGGGTTTCATCAAAGCCTGTAGCCTGTTCCAATTTTGTCTTATCTGTAGATTACGAGCAGATTGATCAGTGAAGTTAAATATGTAACAGGATAACCTCAACAAAAAAGATGCTATTATTATCTGGCTTTTGAACAGCTGCCAAATCCTCCTTTTAAGATCACTAACAGATCTTGTCTAAAATATAGAAGATAAGACAATACTTTATCAAGAATGCATGAGAATTACCTGCAATTCCATATTTTTGGTTCATATCCTGTTTAAAGAATGACAATATATCAGTTTACACCATATTCAATAGGAAAAAAAAAACAAAAGGAAATTGGAATGAAGTGTTCTATAAACTTGGAATACTACTCACCAAGGCTAGGTTAAAATCAATGAGGTAACCTTTATTTAGTTTACGAGAATAAAGGAAGTTTCCCGGTTTGACATCCCTATGAACAATACCCTGGAAGCAAAGAATGATAGGTTAAATGCACTCTAAAAGTACCTTTCACTTAATGTTCCAATATGTCATCAGCTAGTTGAATCTCACCTGCTTATGAATAGAAGCAAGGGCCTTGAACATACAGTAGCCATACCACTGGATCTGGAAAACATCTATTTCTTTCTTCAAAACCTAGTGGTTAATTTAAAGTTGAGTTTGAGAAGACTAATATTTAAAATGTCAATTAGTTTGGGGCACTTAAGAAAAGAAGACATGAAAATATTACATCAGGTCTGTCATGCTCCACATGCTCTAAAACTAGGCAATCAGAACTTCCATTCTTGAGCGATCCTTCATATTTAATCACAAAATTCTTTCCCCTAGAACAAAGTATAATTCACTGATTAAGATAAATTTATTATTAGAAAATAGAATTAGAGAAACAAATATTTAATGATCGTCATATTGAATCCACATTTTTACCCAAATCGTTCCAGCATCTTGACCTCATTAAGGACATGTTGTCTGTTGGCATTAGAATGAGGACCTGCAGAATCATGAATATTATAAGCTTATATGCGGGAACATTTGTTCAAGCACAGCATTCCACAGTCCCTTAACAAGGCAATATCGATGGGTACAATTACACATGAACATTTGTATCTCAGCTTTTGCTGGCATGACATTGTATTCCTATAAGTGTTCCTTCAATAAACAGTTCAATATATTCCTTTCTTTTTTCTTTTCCTTTCACCAAGACACATACATGTGTACAAATTTGGAGCATATGTTTCCAAATTACATCTCTTTAACATGAGCATATGTTTCTAAACTACATTCCTTTCACATCCAAATTGAAGATAAGTTCACATCCAAATTGAAGATAAGAATGAAAAATCAATTCCTTTAACAGTTAAATTAAGCGGACTGATAAACCAGAAACAATCACAAAGAACACTATATTTGCAAAGTACAAACTTATTTTTAAAGACTGAACATAAAAATATAAAGCATAATACACTTTCTTACATTTGATTGCAAATTTTCTCCCATCACTTTTCCTCCTTGCCCTATACACTGTTCCATAACCACCTGCAACACATTTTTTGAAGAAACCATTTGATAACCTTGAAAAACAGCAACACTGGATGAAACTCAGTCAAAGGTATCATACCTGAACCCTCTTCTTCCTCAACGGCAAAAGACTCAAAGTTGGGCAGCTCTTTTTGCTCTATTTGTTCCTACCAAAAATATTTTAAAGAAGAAAATTACATACCAGCTTTAGCTCACCGCACATTATAGGAAGACTTTATTAGATATCATAAAAAGGAAAATGCAATATTTGCAGCTTACTTTTGCAGAGTGGGGATTTAAGTCTTGTCTTTTTTCTTTAAAATTTCCATTCCTTGTTTTAGTATCCAAAAACATTTCATGATTATAATTTAGCTTCTTTGCAGAGATTGGCTTCACATCTCTATTAATTGGCTCCTTCTCTGGACAAGGACTGACCGGCACACCATTATCAAGTGGCTTGTAGACTTCATGATTATAATTTAGCTTCTTCTTTGCAGAGATTGGCTTCACATTTCTATTAATCGTCTCCTTCTCTAGAAGAGAACTGACCGGCACACCATTGTCAAGTGTCTTGTAGACAGTTGGCTGTGCAGTAATCAAGGCATCCTTAAGAACGTATTTTGAACTAGGAGCACATGTTGCAAGTTGCTTCCCATCGAGAGACAACTTAATTGTAGTAATATCATACACCTCCTTTTCTGTACTTGCTACGTGATTTTCCACTAGACCAGTCAGCTGAAGTGGCTTTAATTGAGGGGTGGAATATGTGTTCATTTTCTCTACTGGTTCAGGGAAGTTCAAAAAAGTCTCATCATACAGGAACTCAGCTTTAGACACAATTGAATGTACAGAACCTGCTTCAGTTTTGCTTCCTATTTTATCTAACATTGGTTCATCATTACATTGTATGCTATCAGATCCATGTCTAAAAGCCTCATTGCAGACATCAATACTGCAGGTAGTAAATATTTTCCCCAGTCCATTGTCAGAGGCCAAGCACAATGGTTCCCAAGTATCTATGTTCATACTCATATAATTGTCATCCTGAAACCATTCCTGTGAAAGTATTGTATCCCAGAAGCATAAATATTATCATTTTGTGCGTTGGAACATGGAAGAAAGTTTTAAAAGAAACAAAAATACCAATCAGCTGTAACTAGATAATAAGAGGCAAGAGCAAGTGAGCAAACCCAGCAACCACCTGTTGGGTATGGTATATATGCATTTTAATTAAATGGTATATTACTTTCAGTAGACCAACCCTCATTCTCCTAATGCCACCACCCTCTCACTCTTTACTCCCATCACCACTTTCATTAGATCAGTTCTTTCTAGGCACTTTCATTTCCCTCACCCTTTTTCCAAGCACTGTGCTTGGTAGACCAATTTTCTCTTTTATGTAATCAAGGATATATTTCTATTTTTATTTTTCTAAGAAGCAAAGTGAACAATATGCAGCATTTTCAAGCACAAATCTCAACAAATTGTAAGTTGGTCCCACATTGAATCATCCACAGCAAACCTGGCTAAACTCTCATCTAAACTTATTGGGAATAAAGACCCACCTTACCGAAACCATTGTCAAAATATTAAACCAACCAGTGATTAAGTATTAGTCTGCGGCTTTGGAGAAATTCTGATATACTGAACCACTTGCCAAATCTCAGCCCTACTTCTAGTTAGCCTTGGGTATTATCCTGGTAAGGAAAATTCACACATACTATCTGGCTATACCTATTCTAATTTTCTAGTTCACGAGCTAAAACATAACTTATTTTGTAAACACTCAGGTGAGATATATAACTATTTTGTAATATTCATACCAAATTACCTTAGCATATACATCCTGCGTCTCTCCAGGCAATTCCATCCCCACATGATTTCCTTTATCGGCTGCAAATTACCAATTTAAAATTTTAATTAAACTTGTAAAGCAGAATTTCAAACCAAACCAAAGAAAATTAGAAAATTACGGAGTACAAATAATAATGTCTACTCTTCTCACCATACAAACTATCTAAAGTTCTTCTCTTTTTTAACACAGGCAATCCCTCCACTGTCCATCTCGTCCTTTTCTTCTTCCTGTAATACGTCCGCAACTCACCACCGTCAACCGCTCTCCCAGACGTGAGCCCTTCGAACTTTAATCCAGGAAAAACAGCGGCAATTTCGTTCACACACGCAACAAATTTAGCGAATGTAATGTACACAACCGGAGAGAATGTGACGAGGCATTCTCGAGTCAAATGGAGTGGAGAATAAGGGAGCGTGCAAAGGAATTCGATGAAATCCGGCGTCGTATGGAAAAGCGTACACCGAGATGCGAGCTCTGGCGGCAGGGCCGGCCGTCGAATTGACATCAGCAGGGCGAAAACGTGCCATGCCTTCTGTAAATCGGTGAGAGTTGCGCCGGCGCCGGCGAGCGGGCGGGTGAATTCTGAGCAGGCCTGCGGAGCCTCCATTACTGCCTAGATCTGAAACTGTAGAAACGCATGTGCATGAAGAGAAGCGATTGAAAAATGAGAAAAAGGTCGCGAAAATTTGCAGGAAGGATTCTAGAGAGTGGGGTCGAGAGGAGCGGGAAAATTGTGTTTTGTAGGGTTTGAGATTTTGGCACGTGCGGAGTTCCCGCCAATTCATTTGCCCGAAACTAATGTGTATTGGACTGCTTTAGCAGGTTGCCCGGTTAGAATCAAATTGGGTAGCCCATATAGCAAACAATATTTGGATGGGCCCGTTATACACTTGCATAAGGCCCAATATCCCTCAAAACCAAGTTATTTTCATAGGGCAAATTATTATATGGACCACGGTCCAAAACAATGTAATTTTGATGTTAAAAAAAAAAATTATTCCGTGTGTGTGTTAGTAATAATGAACATTCTAGAGTTAGATAATGCATTTTATGAGTTAGAATAATGTATTTTATGTGTTAGAATAATGAAATTTAAGGGGTAAAGTAATGTGTTTTGTGAGTTAGAATAATAAAATTTATAGGGTAAAGTAATGTATTTTATGAGTTAGAATAATATATACTTTATATGTTTTTGGACCATGGTCAACATAGTTGTGTGTGGGCCAAGTCTGCATAGTGAAGTTAATGATAATTACGAAAATGTCACTATTTTTTTTTTTTAAATCTAATCAAATCTGTTAAATTTTAAAAAATGTAAGACTGGAATTAGTTCTTATTTATCTCCTATGGTACTGTTTTCATAGGATCCTTAGTCTGTGTGTGTGTGTGTGAAACTTTAATGATGTAAGAACAATTTTGCTCGATAAAAAAAATAATAGTACAATATTTGTAGAGTAGTGTATAATTGTACCATTATAGAAATATATACAACAAATATTAATATCATAATGACCTAAATCATTTTCAATAATGCAAAAGCATAATTAACAATATTGAGTCTTGTTCTAAATAATCAATAGAGGATTAATTAAACGAGAAAAAAAAAAAAAACAAACAAACAAACAAATAAACTTAACATAGATTTGTTTTTAAAAAGATGCAAGAAAATTATTTTCAAGGTTTCTTCTTTGTAATTTTTTATGCTCAACTTTGAATGCTATGTACATAATCTGACTAATTAATGAACCAAAGTTCATGTTAAACTTTATATTGTATTTTTTTAATACACGCTAACATATTAATAATATATGTAATATGTTCAATAATTATGTCAACAATAATTGAGATGTGATTCGAACCTAAGACCTTCCTTATGGAAATCAATGAATAAGTTAAGAATATTAAATAATTAACGGAATATTCTGTTACTAAAGTTTACATTAACGGATGCGGGTCTATAAGAAAAGTAAATGATATAATAGAGGGTAAAGTAGAAAAATAATAATAAAAATACTTAAAAATTACATTAGAAGTTTTATTAAATATAAAATTCGAATTTGAAAAGTTGTAAGTCATGAACTCTAGATAACTTAAAATACTCATAGCAAAGCCATGTAGCAAACCAGCACATGAAGTTGGTAATCAAGAATCAATGATCATGTTATTACCACCTAACAACAGAGTACAAAAATTTACAGATTTAGAGACACATGCAAATGGGAAAATGAGAAGAGTGTTAAAAGAGCACACACTGAATTCCAAAACAGCATGAATGAACTGAAGACTTCATTTGAAAGTAGAAAGCCTGGGAAGTTTATCCCGCAAATAGTACAATTTTGCCCTCCTCACTTTCCGGTGGCTCACTACTCTGATCTCTTTGACATTTGGTGAATATCTGTTAACAAGAAACAAAACAAGAAAGTTGAATCAGTACAGGATGCAGATCATTAACGTGGTTGTCAATTTACTGTAATTTTCATAGCTCTTTTCCTATGGTAAATTTGAATACCATGAAAGTTGAAGTAAGATGTGTTAAAATAATAACCCTTTGCAATAGTTTCCTTAATCTGTAATTAGCCCCAACAAAAATATATGCTTTTAGTACTTTCAACAAGAAAATGTGATGCAGTAATCTATGAATACCATCAACAGGAGCATATACTCCCCCTGTCCCATTTTAATTCAATTTTTCATAATGTTAAATTTAGCATTAGTACATAAAATTTATATATTTAGAAACTACATTAAACGTACTATTAAACACAAAAATCAAATTTAAAAATTATTAAAAAATACTAAAGAAAATAAGTAAAGAAGAAAGAGTCATTTTGACTAATGAATAGTAAACAGGACTGGTAAAATGGGACAGAGGGAGTATCTTCCTAAGGTGTCCACATAGAGAACTTGGTATAATGGTATTATTGGTATCTGCATATATTGGTGGATACCATCATATTCTTGTCAACTTCTCAATTAGATTTAACTTTATTAGTGCAATTTTTCTTGAGAAAAAACCATAGTTTTTCGGCATCAGTATATCAAACAAAAGATTGTAAGTACACCACAAAGGAGTGAAAATAAATGATGAATTCACTTACACAGGGAACACGATTTCAACTCCAATGCCAGCAATAATCCTCCGAATCCGAATAGTGGTGTGAATACCAGCATTCTGCTTCGAGATAATTATACCTTTATACACAGACAATCTCCTCCTATTTTCCGGGACTTCCTACAAATCAATAGCAAACCTCTCCTAAGCATTTATACTCACAAACACAAATAACAAATGTTACTTAAAGAAGAAACATAAAACTACCAGCTTGATCTCTACAACATCGCCGGTCCTAAGATCTGGTGTAGGCCTTTTCTCATCAGATGCTTCAATCGCTCTCTTGTTCAGTATCTATGCAGACAAAGTAGGAATCTCTCATCAAATTACTGTATTCTCCACCGATTTATGAGTTAGCAATTGAAGCATGTGCTCCATCTCAACTAAAAGCCTAAGCTGATAGTAGTTAGATTGCACATTAATGGTTATATGCTCAACATTAGCTAGTTCAGTCTCATTTGACCTGATCAGTATATTTACATCTTTGCTCTCCATTACATCGGTTCTCATGACCAAATACTCAAGTGGAAATCAATACCAAGTCAGGCAGCAGAAAAATGTTTATCAACAAATTCAAGAATACCAAAATGTTTATCAACAAATTCAAGAATATCCCATCAGTTATCCTTCATCCAATGTGAACTTATCATAGCCCGATATTCACTTGTGAATGGAATAGCATGCTTTTTATCAAATTTAGACTTAAATATTGTGGCAATGACATTAAATTTCACATTTTCATGTTTTAAATGGATTTTTTTTTTTTTAAGTACAGATATTTCTTATCTTCTTCTCCTAGGCTTTCTCAGCAATCAAACAGAAACTCAATCAACACAATTCAATTAGGGTAAAGAAACACAGAAATATATAGAATATAAATACCCCCATTATATCTCCGAGCTTAATCCGAGGCTTCCTAGGAGGCTTTTCCTCAGTTGCAACTTCCGCTTCAGCCTCCGACTCGGTTTCAACTCCGGCTTCCGGTTCGGGAGCAGTTTCCTCGGCCACTCCCTCCTCCGCTTCAGCTCTGACAACAAAACGCTTCAAATTGGCAGTGCGGAAAGAACTGGATGAATTCCTGGACAGGCGAATTGCAGGTGAATTGAACTGCCCAGCTCGAAGAAAGGCAGAAGACGCTAACTTCTTGGGAGCCCATTGAGTAGGGTTCCTTGGAAGCATAAACAACGCCTGAAATTAATCAAAGAGGCAATAATTATAAATACTTCTTGGTGAGTGAAAACAGATGAATAGATTGTTGCAGTGGAGGCGACCTGAGGGAGAACATTGGAACCCATTTGCAGGTGACGAGTGAAAGACAGGTAGAGAAGATGATTTTGGAATGTTAAGATATGAAGGAGGATGAAGTCATGGATTGAATGGAAGAGTTTCTTCTGCTGCAGTGCTGCAGTTCCGGTGAAGGGTGAAGACGAACGAGAGGAAAACCTTATCTATTGGATGTATACTTGAATATATTGGGTTTTGGTTTTACCCGAAATAAAAATGTTATTTTCTCTTTAAAATTTGCCGTCAATTAAATTTGTATAAAAGAGATAATTCTATTTTTATCCTAAATTTATATGTGTGAGTTGACTTACAGTGTTTTTTTTTTTTTTTTTTCACAACGTTCATGTTTGATCATAATATTATTGTGGTATTATCATTTTTTCATTCGTTAAAAAAATTATTTATATGACATTAAATACAAGGACATTTTGGTGTATCCAGTTCTATGTATTAAGTTCTTTTTCTTTTTTGGTCATAGATTTATATGTGTTATTTCATTTTTAGTCTTTTTATTTTACAAAACATCAATGTTGATCTTAACATTATTGTCGCATGACCATTTTTTGTTATCCATCAATAAACATGTTTAAATGACATTATATATATATATATATATATATATATATATACACACACACACACACACACACATATATATAGTAGTAGAGTTCAGGTGCGGTCTTAGTCTCCCGTACGGTCATGCGGATATATTAGAACCGTAGGATGAACTGAGATCAAATGGCTGGAAATCAATGAAGAAGAGAAATTATGCGGTGGCAATTTCGTAATTTTTTGTACTATGTATATTTCGATGGTGCATTACGTGCTAGTGTGTGGTGCATTTTTAAGTACTCTGTGGTGTATTTTTAAGTGATTAATTGTGCATTGATTTGTATTACACCACTCAACGGGTTCAATAGACCCATTATCCGGCTGCTAGTGTGTGGTGCATATTTGAGTGCTGTGTGGTGCATATTTTAGTGCCGTATGGTTCATTTTGAGTGCTATGTGGTGCATTTTGAGTGATTAATGACGCATTGATTTGTATTACACCACTCAACTAGGGTGTCAAACCCGTGGACGGGTTCAATAGACCTTTCAACGAGGTGTATTACGTGCTAGCGTGTTGTGCATTTTTGAGTGTTATGTGGTGCATATTTGAGTGTTGTGTGATGCATTTTCAAGTGATACATGGTGCATTGAGATTGTCCCACGCCTTTGAATGCAAATGATCAGACGATGCAGATTAGGCCACACGATCTCGCATGACAAATGATGACCGCATATATATATATATATATATATATATATATATATATATATA